TGATTGATGATTCTGCTTCTAAGAATATAGGAACCTTTTCTCGCGTTCGTTGTAAGATTGTTCACCCTGGTAGTGAGAAAATATTGAATTGCTTTAAAAAGAATTTTTTTATATTAAAAATACAAACTTTTTTTTTAGTATAACGAGAAAAAACACTCTTAAAAGTTTTTGATGAGCTCAAGCTACTGAAACGTTTAATAAAAATATGCATTAATTTCAAGTAAAGGAAATGAAAAATGATATTCTTTTAGCTCAAAAATTTTACATACCATTTTTTTCCAACAATCAAGGAATTTCCTAGTGAGCTCAATCAATTCAATTCATTTTTTTTATAGTGCCAAAAGTATGTTAAAATACTATTTTAAATATAAAATATATTTATGGCTGTTTGATTATTTTTTGTATTACTTACGAATCTAATGAAATGTGGTTATCAGAATTTTTTTTTTTTATTTAGAAATATAACAATTTGTCACGTGGACAATAATTATAGTGAAATATAAAATTAACAAGAGTAAAATTATAATAAAAAACTATGTACAATAAAAAATAAAACAACCTAAAGATAAATAAATTAAAAACATAAAAACACAGTCATGCCTATATACAATATATACACATCAGAAAAATTAGCTGTTTTTTTTTTTATTTCTTTGAAACTGATATTTATGAGTTTCTCAGAATAATAAAAATACATATTAACTTTTTGCTTATTTTACATGATAATATATTTTTTTCGGTGGTTTATTACACCTAGATTTGAAAGTGTTTTTTATTATTTTACGTTTTAAAAAAATATGTTCATATAGAAAATAAATGTGTAAAAATTGTGAAGATATATTTTTTTATAAATTTTATTATAAAAATATATTTTTTTCGGCTCAAAGGGCACATTGAAATGAATACCGGTTGATGTGTCCAATATATTTTTATGTAAAGTTCCCCTGCACTCTCCCCTCCCCTAAATAAAAAAAAGTTATGATCAGCGATCCCCCTCTCCCACGTGTGTGAACTCCCTTTGTTAGTTAAATTTTATATATATATATATATATATATATATATATATATATATATATATATATATATATATATATATATATAAATATATATATATTTTACAATTTCACTTGAACATATAATCGGAAAAAACAAAACTGACAAGAATCATGGAGCAGATTTAATATTAAGAACAACCGCTATTAATGTATAATGTTGTTCTTTAATATTTTTATTTATAAATTTTTCTTCTTAGCAGCATATAATTTGTTCCTATATTGTTGGTAATTCTTGCAAGCTTGTTCAATGATTAAACATTAAACTAAAATTATACAATGAGAAGTGGTACAAGACCCTGAACCCTCGTCATATTCCATGTTGAAGGTCTATATCGAAGACAACTGGAGCCACAGAGGGCTGTATAACTGCCCTTGTTAGGGCTCTAGCAGACCCTTTGACTCGAGTATTTCTGTCCTGCTAACGAACTGCGGGCCGGCAGTCCACACCACTCAGCGATTTATTTGTTGAACCTCTGTATCAGTTTACTTCTCATATAAAGTTTCTATCGCACCAGTCAGTTTCCGGAAAATGTTCACTGCACAGCAACACCATCTAAATTACTCTTGCCACTGTGTGTTGGAGGGTAAGAATTAAACCAAAAAAATCCTGTATAAAAAATAGAATAGGATTAAAAAAAATTCCCTGTTATTTTTTAGCTCAATAACTGGATGGTTCATCTATTAATATGGACCTAGTATTACTTATTTTTTATTTTATTTTATCCCTTGCTTCACATATTCTGGTATATCACGGAAGGGAGGAGCGTTCTATAAGTACAACCGAATCTATTATAACCAGAATGGGACGGTCCTGAATCATTGCGTGTCACCACGAAATTAATTTCAACCTGTTTAAGGTGGATTCGATCCGACGCCGCTAGGACTCAAGACGAAGTAAATTGGTAACGGTTTAACACGTTCGGCCGATACGGTCTCTTAGCCTCGCCTATCATTTACTCCAAAATATCCGACCTTTTTTTTTCTCCCCCCTCCTAAGATATACGGAGCCGGTCCAGGGGTGAGGGCGAAGCAATCATGCCAGAGTGAAAAGCTAATCTCTCCCGTGATTTAAACTCGTAAACTTCTTTTTATCCCGGCTACTCGTAAACTTGCACCGGCTATTCAGTGCAACGGATGCTTTGCACACGCATTAGCCCGCTCGGCAGCCAATTTCGGAAACGGAAGTTATCCGTTTAAATGCTACCTCCTTTTGGAACTCCTTACCTATTTATATACGCCAATCCTAGTTCAAACTTCCTTCAAACAAATCCTATTATATTACACACTTCTGCAACGATGTAAAAATTATTAGATTCTGTAATTATAATCGTTTATTAACAGTTAATTGGTGAATTCCTGTACTCTTTCATTATTATTATGGGTCTTTAGTCTCAGGATAAAAATATTTTTCATTTCCTTCCTTGTCAATAATATTTCATCAGAAAATAATCTAAAATAAATAGTTCTTATTTATCGTACTTAAAGAAATATGGAAAGTAAATTTCCTAATTTTTTTGTGTGTAAAATCGAACCATGGTTTGTGTAAACTTTGTTGAGGTCTTCTATCTCTTCCTTAAATATTTTCCTTTACTTACTCTGTATAAACTGCAAAATTCTTCTTCCTCTTGTTAATCGATTCCCCCTTCTATCATTGATCAGTGTTGAGGGTTTTGTTTATACAGTCCGATCCAAGTGTATATCTATCTTACACTAGCTGGCTACATCTATTCTAGTCAAAGCCTCTTCTATCAAATCCCTCTCTACGTGAACTTTAACAATGTTTCTAGACCTTTCTCTTGGCATTCTTTCATACCTCACTCTCATTCTATACATAATTTTAGCCATTCATTCCTTCTGAATTCTTTCAAATAACCAAACCCAAAGTAGACTTTTGTCATTCTATCTTCTATTATGTTTATGGCTGGTTTTAATCTCAGATTATTTCTTAACATTGTGTTTCTGATTTTCACATTCATATTGCCTGGCTCTGATCTAATATTTAATAGTACTATGGCTATAGTCCAATTGAGGTAATAGTTGATTTAATAGTAATAGTCTAGGTATTATTACAGGATTTACTGTCGTAGGCAAGTCTGGAGTTGAAGGTATTTTTTATACACAATTTTCTTAAAAATTTTCGCCACCTTTGTTTTTCCCAAGAAGCCTGCTTTTAATAAAATGGAGCTTTTCTTGGCCAGTCTTCTCTCATTGATTTCGCACTCCATTCAATCTTTCTCCTTAAGATAAGTTCCTAGATACCTACAGTCTCTGACTTACTCCTATTCTACTCCCTTCAATTGAAGAACTCTTCAAAAATTCTTCTACGAAATTTAAAATATTTCTTTAAGTATATTATCCTATTTTTTTTTTTTTTTTATTGAGAGAAAGAAAAAATACATTTTGCCTCAATTAAGGGCATTGAGTATTTATGATGAATGAAGTACAATCATACCATATATACAATAAAAGAACAACAAGATTATAAGAAAATAAAATAAAATAAAACTTGGAGTAATAGAATAAATCAAACTGATATAACATTAAATAAAAACTAAAAAAAATAAATAAATAAAAAATAATAAATAAAAACACATTCAAACTTATTTACAATATTTACAGTCAGCCGAGGGAGCTCCGAGTCGGGCCTTTTCCCCCACGTGTGGAGGACAAGGCAAGACTCCAAGAGATCCCAGCGCTTCTCTCTCAGCCGCATCACTAGGATGGAAATCCAGTGGAGACTGAGAGAGGGCACTAAAGCCACATACGCTCATGACTTCAGTGGAGAAGCTGGCCATTGCCAGGACTCCAATGACGTCTTTACTAAAGATCTCGAGGCCACTGCCGCTTCAACCTTCGAGGAGGATTGTAGGGATGACTGGAACTAGATAAGGATTGTGCTAAGGGATTAGGATGATAGGTTAGGTTCTGATGAAAATTTGAAAATCGGGATGGAATAACGTCAAGGACATAAGGGATGTTAAGGTCATCATGTAAGGTTTTGTTCGTAACATAGTAAGGAGCATTGACTATTATACGGAGGATTTTAGACTGGAAGGATTGGATGCGTTTGATGTTCGATAATTTAGTTGTCCCCCACAGTTCAAGTCCGTAGGTCCAGATGGGTTTCAGTATAGTCTTGTATAGTTTGTATAGTTTATAGTTTGTTTTCAATTGAGAGGTTAGATTTTCTGTTAAGTAGTCTGTATAACTGGCCAAGTCGTCGGTTAAGCTCTTGTCTTTTAAGTCTGGTATGTGGGATCCATGTTAGTCTTTTGTCTAAAAGGAATCCAAGATACCGAACTGTGTCTGAGATGGGAAGAGGTACTGAGTAAAAGGATATGTGGACAGGATCTGCGTCGGAGGGTAAAGGTGACATGCTTGCATTTGGATTCATTGATCTTGATACGCCAATTGTTGCACCATTGCTCTATTAGGGAGCTGTGTCTTTGAAGGTTTAGGGATGCTGTTTCAGGGTCTGGGTGGGAAGATAGGATGGCGGTATCGTCAGCAAATGTTGCTAGAAGGGTATTAGGATGTAAGTATATTATCAACGATATTATGTGATTTTATGATTATATTTCAACCTTGGAGACATTAGATAACAAATCTAATGATGACTAAAATCACATATATATATATATATATATATATATATATATATATATATATATATATATATAATATATATATATATTATATATATATATATATATATATATATATATATATATATATCACAATTATATATATATATATAATTATTATTTCTTACTCATCAGCACTTACCCCATGTTATTTTTTATTTATTTATAATTTTATTGAAATTTACAACTGTATTACATTAAAAATACAACAGGTAAATGTGACATGTAAAATATGAAGAGAAACTACTCATTGGTAGAACTCAAATACCCCATGTAAACCTCAAATTAGCCTCAGAGTATTGTTGCAGGTATCCGTGAGGCACACCGAGGCGGACGGATCGCAAGCCTCATCGGGGTTGAAGGGGGCCATTCTTTAGGAAGTTCCTTGGGAGTCCTCAGGATGTTCTACGGCCTAGGGGCTAGGTACCTCACCCTCACTCACACCTGTCACACTCCATGGTAAGTAGTTATGTTTTTAAGTTGCTAATGTATTTATGTATCCTCAAATAAATTACTAAGCAGAGGGAAATACGTTTTTCAGGGCTGGGTGTTGTCATGGGGAGGATGATAACCAGGGCCTCTCACATTTCGGCAAGGTAAATTTATTTTATTAATCTTTATTTTATTTATAATATGAGATATTTTTCATGTTTTAATAAGTAATTTAATTGAAAACCCCACTGCCTGGACGAAGCAGTGCCACCTCGTCTCCAGCTTAACCTGTGCGACAAGAATCCAATTCTGCATTACTAAATGAAATTTCCGAATCGGCTCTGTTGAATGAACACCTTCTTTTGAATTAAATTGTTTTACAAAAAAGGCAAATAATCCATGAATTAAAAAAATAGCTTGGTGAAACATAAATGTCCTCTTGATATGGTTTAAAACGTATGTGTATTTAAAGAAAATTTTGTAATGTTTAGAATGCAGCAATTCATAATTACGTAATTTTAGAACTTATAGGTTCTGGCATAGAAAAAATATAACAGCGATTTAAAAACATAAAAGTTAATTTTTTTTATTGGTTATTTTGAAGTTTCAGGCGCAAAACATCTAGGTATTATTCATAAAAGAATTATTATTAAAATATTTAGTTTTTAGTTGTAATGGAGAAAAAAAAAAGAAAAAGAAACTAAATACACTGACAGGCAAAAAATTCCACCCACTTGATTTTTCCATGTTTTCATCTAAAAATATTTCTGTAAAGTTTTATTTGTATATAATACATGGTATTTGTAGATAATACTTAGTATTTATGGAGTTTTATATTCTTTATTACCTTTAATAATCAAAATGTGAGTGGGTAAGAAAGATTAGAGAAAATAAAATTGAAAAACGAACCATCATTATTCTAAAAGAAATTAGTTACATCATCGTTTAGTAGCGCGTGTTTCCTCCTCTTGCCTTCACTACTTCTTGAAGACACCTCGGCATACTTTCCACCAGTCGGGAAATGTCCCTTTGCTGGCGGATAGCCCGTTCCTCCCGAAGAGCCCTATCAAGGTCCTGCAGTGTATCAGGAAGTGTTGCACGCGCTCTTATTCGTCTTCCGAGGTTATCTCATAAATGTTCAATGGGGTTCAAATCTGGAGAACGTGCTGGTCAGGTTAAAACCTCAATATTGTTCTGTTGAAGGAACGTCTGCACTATGCGGGCGACATGTGGGCGTACATTATCGTGCATTAGAATAAAACGATCGCCGATTTCGTTGAGGATAGGTAACACATGAGGTTCAAAAATCTCATCTACATAGCGAATGGACGTCAAAGATCCTCCACGAACAACAACCAATTCTGTGCGGCGCTCCATTGAAATCCCAGCCCACACCATTAAGGAACTACGTTGGAAAGGTTGGCTCTGAGAAAAATTACAGGCTGCATATCTTTCGTTTCTTCTTCTCCACACCCTTTCACGCCAGTCTGGAGATCGAAGAGCGAATCTTGACTCATCTGTAAAAAGTACAGCACTCCATTCGTCCATAGTCCAATGGCTGTGTTCTCGAGCAAAAGCCAGTCGTGTTACTCTGTGAGTTCTGGTCAACTCTGGTCGTCTTACTGGACGAAAAGCCATTAATCCATACTCATTTAATCTTCTCCGAGCGGTACGTTCAGAAATTTGCACACCTCGAACATCTTCGAGCTGTTGAATCGCTTGAACAACGCTAAGGTGACGGTTTCGTAAAATTCTCAAAGTCAAAAACCGGTCATCCCGTGGTTATGTTACCCTAGGCCGTCCAGAACCGGGCCCTCTATTGTAAGAAGAAATTTCCCGAAAACGCCTGACGGTGTCTCGTAAAGTTTCATATGGAACTCGGATGGCATTAGCTGCATATCTAATGGAACGTCCATCATCAATAAGTGCCACAACACGCGCAACATCCTCAGGACTAAGAGGCATTTTTAAACTTAATATTGAAAAAATTAAAAACCGGAGACCAAGAAATATAACTGAACTAATGATACTGAATAAACATTTTTATTCCATAGAAAGTAAACATTGGAATCTAGAATCATTTCATTGAATTAAGGATTAAGGGTTATTGTTCCCTATATTAACATTCCTAATTGAAAACGAACAAAAAGATTATCTATTTATTCAGTAAAAACAATAGACCAATCCAAAGCATAAATATTTTTAGAAAAAAACATGAAAAAACCAAGGTGGTGGAATTTTTCGTCTGTCAGTGTATATAAATAAAAAATATATATAAAGGAAGCCGAATTAAATAAAATAAAATAGATAAATATAAAGTATTATTATTATGACTATTTTATTAAATTTACCTTTATTAAAAATGCTATTATTTTCTCCGATATATTGCTGTCGTTTCCAACGACTTGATATATTTTATGATTTCTCTAAATAATTTACGACTAGAAAATGGGCAATCTTGGAAAATGTGTTATGGACAGGACATTATTGCAATACTGACATATAGGTTGTGCAATTTTAGTGATGTTTTTTTTTTATTGTGTGTGTGTGTGTGTAATTGAACCATAATTTATATTTATTTTTGTGTAGCGCTTGAGATCAAACATTTTTTTAAAAAATATTTCCGGTTTCATACGGGCCACCGTGATGTAACTCAACTAATTTTAACAATTACTTATTATTCGATTTATTGCGGTGTGGACAAAACGGATATAAAATTGCTATTGTACCTTACATTTTGCTCGTATAAGCCAAACGGTTGGAGCGTTGTATTGACCACTTACTGGCAGCGATCAGATAGGTCTCATTGAAGACGGCCAGCTCTATTGAATGCAGTCTCAGTCTATTGTCTTCTCAATTCCAATTTTCCAAAACCTATCTTCTGTTTGCCTTATCTCATTTCAATTAGACTCCAACAAATTTAAATGATACTTGTTCAATTATTTATTATCAAATTTTGAATTAAATATTATGTGTTGATTTAATTTTTTTTAAATACTAAATTTTATGGACCGAACCTCAGGAGGGCTATTAACATCCTGATAAACCACATTACGATTCCCGATTTAAGTACACGGGGTAGGGTCATCATTCCTACGTCCGGTTGGTGTGAGTTGCCTCCGGTGGTCTGACGGGCCTCATTCGCGGGGGGAGAGGAGAGACTCAGGCAGCTTGATTTTTCCTGATGGACGGTCACACAAACTGGGCGGTCATCCATCCAAGTACTATCCACGCTCGATATTGCTTAACTTTGATTACCTATTGCAAGCGCCTTAGCCCGGACGGCTACCCCAGCTCATTTCTAATTAATAGTTTATATTAAAAAAAAAAAAATTTCAACCAAATATTTATCTTATTATTTCTTCGATATAAAATACAATTAATAATCAAAGTATAGTCCATTGTTATTTACCGTCCTTAGCAATCTGCTATCCAATTTCTCGATCCCACGTTAATACCATTATTTTAGATGGCTGTCAAAGAACTCTTGGACCGCAATTTCAACTTACCCAAAATTATAAATTTTTTTCCCTTGAAGAAAATGGGTCATGTATCTAAATAATTAGTGATCTGATGGTGCGAGATATGGACTATATGGTGAATGAGGCAGAAGTTTTCAGTAAATTTTCACAAATTTCTAACCTCTTAGCTTATTGCTGGGGGACCAGTCTATTGCTCTTTTTAGCCTTCTCCATGGAGAGTACATGGCAAGTAACAGTATCTTTCGAAACACCACGTTTCCTGGCAAGTTTGCGAGAATTTGTGGACTGATTCGATTCAACAGCTTTCTGGATAAACTCATCAATATCCATTAATGGTCGCCCGAAGCACTTCTTCCTTTCCAACGTCGTATCTTCACTGCTATTTTTTTTCAAACTAAAGTGTGTTGATCAAAGACACCTTCCGTTTCATATTTAATAATTTCACGTGTTTCTCCAGCGGCTGTGGATTTTTTTTTTTCAGTGAGGCCTTTAATGTTTCTTCTCTGAAATAAATAACTAAACTGGAGCTTTTTTTTTTTAATAAGCCAAATAGGATTAAACAAGCTTAGAGAATAATTTAAAGGTATTATCAAGTATTAAATAGGATTTAAATATTTACAGTCCTTTGAAATCTTGAATTTGATAAAACGATTTTTTTATACACCCTATTATCTACATAATAGGAGCTCTATTACATCTTTGTTGTAACTAGATCCATCTGGTTTTCAGTATTTCATGTGGTCTTTTGTCTGCTATTGGTACAATATTATCTATGGATTCTATTTTACTATAGTATGATTTATTTGGTTTAATTGTAAACGTTAAATCTAAAAAAAATGTTTCAAAATCGCTTAACGGTAACATGAAAACTTTTTTTATATAACTATTGTTACAAGTATCGATTGAATTGATTTTGTTATCGATGGAACAGCTGGTGGTCCGAGAGCTGAACAGGCTGGGCATGTTGGTGGACCTCAGCCACACCTCCTTCAAGACGATGGAGGCAGCCCTCAACGAGTCCGTGGCTCCGGTCATATTCTCCCATTCTTCGGCCTTCGCGCTCTGCAACTCCACCAGGAACGTACCAGACTATATACTGAAACTACTGGTAAGTTTGCGAACAAGCTACTACTTATTATAATTAAAATGCCTCTTAATATTATTTAATAATAACCAAATCAACCGTAATAAAAAAAAACAGAAAGGTATTATACAGAGTATCTCAGATCTTAATGGTCATATTCTAGGAGAAAATTTTAGACAAAATTTCTAACGTAAAAACGTATTTAATGTATGATTCAATTTCAAAAGGAAAAGGAGGGGCGTCCAATTTTGTCTTTTCTTAAGTTGGTCACTTTTTAATAGCGCTCCGATAATTTAATAATTGACCATAATATCACTTAAATCCGAAAAGTTGTAAAAACTGGATGCGCGGTTACGCATTCTCAAATCCGACAGTATTTTATTAAAAAGCGCCCCCGATAACATAATATTTGATCCTGGTATTGATTAAGTGGGTCTCACATAACCCCAATATGGACGCCATTATTTGAGGAATTCAAAGAAAATATCTATACTCAAATAAATAATACTTAAAATAAAAATTTCTCAGAATTATTTCGCTGAAAAGATTCTGTAGTGCTATGTAACACCGCGAATACTTCAATGCATTCTATTCCACTACTCGCTACTTTTTCCTAAGGAAAGTACTCAAATCATGAAAGTAATCCAGTACTGCCCATACCTACTTTAAAACATCATTACAAAAAGAAGATTGATACAAAAAACTTAATAAGTGTTTTGTTTTCAGGCCTTAAACGGTGGTTTGGTAATGGTGAATTTCTACACGTATTTTATAAGCTGTAATCAGACCGCTACACTGGAGGACGTAATTGGTAATTTCATATCTTATTTTATTGTTTTATTTAGTCAATTGTTTAACGTTTTTTTAAAAATAAAATATTTATTTTTACAGCTCACATAAATCATATTAGGAAGGTTGCAGGGGAAGATCATGTCGGCATCGGAGCGGGCTATGACGGAATAAATATGTATGTTAATTTTATTTAAATATATATGATTTACTATATTTATAAGTATGTATATACACTCCAAGAACCCAAGAGGAAGCAACTCACAATTTTTTTAATGTCGAGAATTTCAATCACCCTGTTATACCTAAGAGCAACAAGACCTCACGAACGAAGGAAAACCAGTTGACAAAACGGTAGAATCAAATGTGCATTCCTGAAAGGAAACTCTCTGGGTGCTTAGTTGTATAAATTAAGAAATGTACTTTTTTTTTTTTTTTTAGTTTTATCTCTTTTGTTCTTGTAGTGTATGTTTGACCTTTGAGGCGTAAAACCCTAGGACCATCAACGCCTGTTTGTTCTCCGTTCTTGTAGTGTAAAGCTGTATTTGTGTAATATTTCAGCATGGGAGTGGGTTAAAATTGTAAGAGAGATTATATAAGAATCATTCATTATATTTTGTGAAACAGTTAAGCCTGTAGTCAATACAGATAAGTTATATTTAAATGATACAAACTTAACAAAATAATTTTAATAAGTTTGGGTATTACCATGTAGGGTTTTTATTCCCCAAATTTAGTATTTTTTTCTTTTGAAGGAGCATTGTTTTAGATATTTTTTTTTAGAAAAAGGAGATAACCACAGACCTTTTGGAAGCTTTAGTATTTTGAAAAGCACTAAAACGGCTGGATTTTAAAAATGTACTAAGTAACAAGTTCCAGTTGTTTTGTCCCCTCAACTTGAAATTTCAGTTTTTAAAAATATATATTTTTTTTAAGAACTATTCGGGTTGCTGAAAATTTCGGATTATTTAGAGTGTTTGGGAAATATATCTACTACAAATGATTAAAACTCAAAGTATATATATATATATATATATATATATATATATATATATATATATATATATATATATATATATATATATACTAGTTACATTCGTGTCTACTCATTTAAAAACATTGAATCTTCATGTTAAGCAATAACTTTTTGTTTTTAATTCTGTAAATTTAGTTTGACGTTTAGTTGTCTTTTCTCACTGATTCATCTCGTAGAAGTTGAAGGAAGGAATGATTTGTTGCCACTCCATATTGTTCGTTTTTTCCCATTGAATGCGTTGATTGGGTGATTGTTTTGCTGTGGACTTTATTCATGGACTAATCATAAATTTTGAGTTGAAGAAAAAAAAAATATTCTTCACATGGTTCTATCAGTTCTAAAACCGATAAACAGAAATATATAAACGAATTTGTGTAAAATACTGTTTTGCACGATTTCTGTTGTGCATTTTTTATGACGAATGAAAAAAAATTGAAGATTCGTAATCTATTGTTGTAAAATAAGTTAATTTTTTGGCGAATTTGTGTTAATCAATGGCCGTCGTTTTAAATGAATAAACGTAGAACAAACTCTCATCCAGGTTGTATGAGTGATGTACTTTTTTTTCTAAGAGTATCCTGGAATCTTGTGTTGTATAAGACTCGCTGGTTAAGATCAGATTTCTTAAAAACGGAGAGACATAAAATTGTGGCGATGCTTGGTAGAAAATCATTTTTTTTTTTTATTGTTTAGGGGATGATACAAGAATAGTTTAAATGAAAATTAATTCCTTCTCGTACTTCTTTTTTAACTTTTCATCCGCAACTGTCATGAATATGACAATAAGTAAATTGTCGTTGTTCAGAAAATGATACTTTAGGCATGAGGACCGATAGTACCCAGCAGCAGCACTTTCTGGTCTTTGTTTACTTCCCTGATTCAGGAAAGGAGATCTCTTATCTAGCTCTTTTTCAGTAACAACTAGGTGGGTAAGCCATCCGTTGCTGTGCCATTTATAATTTTATTTTTGAGTCCGTTTTGTGTAATATAGATTCAGGAGTAAAAGGAGCGCTATTGGCTGAATTGAGTAAATATCTTAGCTTTGTCGGACAGAGAAAAATCTGTCGAAAAGGAAAGCATGTAGTGAATAAGATTTCAGTTTTGAGTTTAAAAAGAAGTCCTTGGTGCCAAACTTAATTAAATGCAACATCCAGATACCGCCCAGTTGTCTATTACTTTTGGTTGAGTGTTCGAGAAATATAGTCAGTAACTATTCGTAGTTGTGTTGTTAAATGTAATGTGTGAAAACCGAATTGATGGTCAGAAATTATTTTCTTTTCGTCAGTATGTTTTTTTTATATATCAATTATTCGAAAAGTTAAGAACATATCAAAAAGAGGAACGGTAGGATGAGGATTGAAAATTTATTTGTATCTTTTGTGTGCCATTTCGTATGTGAATATTTCCTGTATGAAAGAGAGAGTGCTATGACAAGAATTAAGGCCTAAGTTTTCATGTTATGCATTCCCGAAGTCAGTAAATGATGTAAATACAGATGAAAAATTATAAGAAAATTGTTTCCCTATAGACCCATATCCAACATACCCCATGAACCACTTTGGCAGGGTAATTAGTGTTTTTATAATTGCAAATGAGTATCCATTACTGGTATCCATAATCATCAGTTACTGGTGATTAAATTATAGGAGAAATTTTCAAATTATAGGCAGAAATTCACTGGCTTTAGGGAAAACTAATGAGTTGATCTTGGAATCATTGTTGATAGTAATACCTTAAGATTGATTTTACAAAGTCTGAGATGTTGAACAAAATAATAATCCACCAATGACCCACTAAACACGAAGTAGTGAACGAAACCCCTAGAATCTTTCTTGAGGTTGATAGGAACGGAGAGGGTTGATGTGTTGGCGGTGTTTGGCCTAGCGAATAAATATTGAAGCTGTTTACATTAGCCAGCCGCACCGGGAATAGAGAGAGGGTCCGAATATGTTTACATACATTTACATGTGAGGCTGTTGGCGACCTCTCTGTTTGGCCTCCACTTCGTTCCTGGTATCTTTTTACCTCCATTTTATTCTATTCGACCCTCTTCTCCATATATATCATATAAGAAGTGACCTAAAGAAAGAATAATGGTTTTGCAGTATATAAGAAACAATCAACATGTATAAACAACCAAGGGAATCCTTTAAAACTATGTAGGAAATCTCTAAAGGTTCCTTAATAAGCAATTATAATATGTTTCTTCTTCGTTTTTTTTTTAATTCATCCAGTAGGGTAAGCGCACCGGTAATGGACATAGCTAAGAAAATGTTTTTCTTTTTTGGCTTATTATAGTTATAAACTTCACTGATGGAAATTTAGAATTTGTATGGTCTGTTTTTGCTATTTATCACATTAAAATTGGAAAAAAAAATTCAGTTATGTAGGTATAATCACCATTTTAAATAAACACATTTTTGTAAAAGTTATGGACACTCTCAAATTCAATTATTCTAGTAACGGGCAGGGGGTCGGTACCAGTAATGGTCATGTTTGAGAAAAAATCTAAAATCTTTATTTAACTATAAGGACAACGATAAGATAGCATGAGGGTCCAACTTACTCTTATCAAAATTGTTAGCAGGGAGATATGAAACACACTGATCTCAAGAGCACCATAGAAACAACAATGATAGGCATTCTAAAATTTTCTTTTGAGAACTCTGTTTATACAGTTGTCGATAGAATGCATTGTTCTGCAATCTAGAAAAAACTGGAACCTATAAATCAACAAGGAAACTAATTATTTACATTGAAAGTCCTACCTGTCCATCATTGGGCCCCCTGTTCATAACTAGTTCCTTTCCACTTAATATATTAATTCTGCCAAATGGAAAATGGTAATAATGGGAAAAAAGTACATTAATACCAAATGTACAGTAAATATTATTAAATGAAACAAAACAGAAGCAAAATAAAAACCAAATTATTATTAAAAATACATACAATATATAAAAATAAAATAACTCAGAGGTATGTAAATTTGAAGAAAAAAAACACAGATATATATATATATATATATATATATATATATATATATATATATATATATATATATATATATATATATATATATATATAAATCAATGTAATCCTTCAAAATCTTTTAAAGTTACGTTTACATTTACATAAAGTAATAATATTATATAAAAATATTACAAAAACATAGGAGCATAGGCATAGGGAACTTTTGTTAGACTTCACGAAGGCGAGATTAATAATATGAAATATGAATAAGAGCTCATTATAAAGAGGTTGAAATAATGAACATTCCCCTAGTTAACAGGGTGCTGGTCCGATTTTTGTTTTCTGAGATAATTTATATATTTCTTAAAACTCGTTATCGTTTCGACACTATTTTTTTCTTTTCGCTTCTCTAACACGGCGTCGCGCTGAGCTACAATTTTGAATAATAGCCCATTAGAGAGAGGATGAAATGCTAAACAATTCCCTTGCTTACAGTATGCAGGTTCAATTTTTAGTTTTTGAGTTATTTTAATACATATGTCAAAATACTTCAATTAGTCGACTCTAGTCGACTTTACCCGAGCATTTCACATGGGATATCTGACAGCTCATTCGAATTCACTCTCCAAAAAATAAAAGTGCAAAACACGTCTAATGAAGTTTTCACTTTAAAAAAAGTGCACAAGAAATACCTTCTTAAACAAGCTCCCTTTTGGGCAGCAATAATTCGAATCTATTTGACGTTGATGCTATTATTCCTAACATATACCTTAGAGATGTAAGCAATGACAAAAGCCATTCAGTTGTCACTCCTTAGAACTGAGTGGGAAATCCTTCGTATATTCAGTAAGTAAGTAAATGGAATTAGGAGAGTTGGACGTATAAAATAAGATGGAAGGATTACCGTCTGCTGTTTATTTCCTTTTGGGAGCGGTGTAGCTCAGTGGTAGGGCTCTGAGCTTCCAATGCAAAAGTCCCGAATTCGAACCCTGTTTCATCTGGAGTCCATCCTGGGGCACACCCAGCATCTATAAAGTGGGTACCCTTAATTAAATAATTAATTCGGAGGAAAACCTGGCGTTTGAGCGTGATCTTGGTCAAATCATCTCCTTGCACAACTGTGGACCTAGAAACAGTGCTTTCCCTAAATAGTACTGAACCCCAGACCCTTT